TGCTGCTGCTGCTGCTGCTGTTGCATCGGGAGAGCGACCCGCTACATCTCCTCCTTTGGGCTTCAGGGGTGTATAAAAATACATGTTTTTGTTTGTTTTGTTAGTTTAGAGTTTATTGAATTTATAATATATTTATTTTTCTTGTTTTTATTGATTATTTCTCTTACTTTTATACTCCCCTCTGTTTCGTACTACTCTGCGGTGTATGCGGTGTTGTTGAGCCCCCATCTCTCTGTGTTTGTACGGCAGCAGCAACGTTAATATATCATTTTCTTCTTTATTTTTATTTTTTATTTTTCTCTTTCTCCATATAAAACCACCGGATGGGCCTCCTGCCTCCCTGGGGGCCCCCCAGCACGGGGCCCCGCCTAAGGCTAGCGGTTGTGGTTGCATCAGCAGCAACAGCAGCAGCAGCAGCAGCAGCAGCAGCAGCAACCGCAGCAGCAGCAGCAACTGGTGTTGCACCGCTCGGAGTTCCTGCAGCAGCACATCCCTTTACAGCAGCAGCAGACGCATACGCAGCACCATCACTGCATGCGGTGCAGCCAGGGGCCCCGGGGGCCCCCCCCCATCACCTTGGGGGCCCCCGTGCATTCGCTCCATCTAGCGAGGGTATTGCGTATGATGCTGTGGGTGCCGTTCCCGTTCCCTTTAAACCTTTTCAGCAGCAGCAGCAGCAGCAGCAACTGCAGCAGCTGCAGCAGCTACAGCAGCAGCAGCAGCAGCAGCAGCAGCAGCAGCAGGAGCAGCAAGGAGAGCAGCAGGAATTTGTTTTAGAGGAGAATGAAGGAGAAGAAGAGATGACAGCAGACACAGAGCTGCTGCCTGCTCCTCGTGCTCGTATTGGTGGTTTATTAGGTTTATTATTTTCTGCTGTTTTATTACGTTCTTTACTTTCTTTATCTATGACGCGTAATGTTTTAGTTGGGGCTGCATGCATCATTGGCTTTGCTGCAGTAGCAGCAGCAGAGTTTTTTTATTCTTTATTTATATATATAAAACAAAAACAAAAATTTGAGTTAGCTAGAGATGCAGTGATACGTAGTATGGATTCAGGCCGTCGTAGTATAATAAAAAATAATTTATTATCTTATATCTCTCCTCCTTCTTCTTTGTCTCCTTTTTTA